ATTTCTTAAGTCCATTCCCAACTTTGGCTTTTTCATTCGATAGCGTTGTTGGGACCGATTTCTGAGGTCTGAAATTGGTGGGTCACACTTGCGAAGAATTACTAAGAGTTAGTATATTCTTGACCAAAATAACGATAACTAAAACACTATAGAAACAAGAGTTATTCTGGAATTAGTGTTTAAGTCAAGAATGTCTTGGTTTAGTGAATGAGTGATTGACTGCCCCTCGGTAGCAGTTGCTCTAACTCACTAAAGTATCGTTGCAAATTAATAATGATTTGGGTGCATTATTATATTTGCTAAAACTGATTGGATTAAACAGGATTAAGTCAAATCACTAATAGAATTTTCTTTATATCACAGCATGACAAACTCAATAGTACAATTACTCGCTTCTGAGAAATTAAACGGCGACAACTACACAACTTGGAAATCAAACCTAAACACAATACTGGTCATTGATGATTTAAAGTTTGTTTTAACTGAGGAGTGTCCTCCAAACACAAACTCAAATGCAAACCGAACAGCTCGGGATGCATATGACAGATGGATAAAGGCAAATGACAAAGCCCGAGTGTACATTCTAGCCAGCATATCTGATGTTTTGGCTAAGAAACACGATGTTATGGGTACTGCTAAAGAGATTATGGAATCTCTAAAAGGGATGTTTGGACAACCGTCCTTCTCCCTTAGACATGAAGCCATAAAATACATTTACAACTGCCGTATGAAAGAAGGGACCTCAGTTAGAGAACATGTCCTGGACATGATGGTCCATTTCAATGTGGCAGAAGAAAATGAAGCTGTCATTGATGAGAAGAGTCAAGTCAGTTTTATCATGATGTCTCTTCCGAAGAGCTTCTTCCAGTTCCGCACCAATGTGGTTATGAACAAAATAGAATATAACTTGACTGCTCTTCTCAATGAGCTACAGACTTATCAGTCCCTCTTAACAAACAAGGGACAAACAGGAGAAGCAAATGTTGCCATCTCCAAGAAAGTACTACGAGGATCGTCCTCCCAAAATAAGTCTGGACCTTCAACTTCTAAAAGTGTTTTGATGAAGAAGAAGGGAAAAGGGAAAAATAAGATTCCTACTAACCGCAAGAACAAGGTTCAAAAAGCAGATAAAGGAAAATGTTTCCATTGCAACGAAAACGGGCACTGGAAGAGAAATTGCCCAAAATACCTTGCAGAGAAGAAAGCCGAAAAGACACAACAAGGTAAATATGATTTACTCGTTGTAGAAATGTGTTTAGTAGAGTATGACAACTCAACTTGGATACTAGATTCAGGGGCGACTAATCATATTTGTTCTTTTTACCAGGAAACTAGCTCCTGGAGAATGCTTGCGGACGGCGAGATAACACTCAGGGTTGGAACAGAAGAGGTTGTCTCAGCAAGATCAGTGGGAAATTTAAAGTTGTTTTTTGGAGATAGATTCATTATATTAGNTTTTTTTTTTTTTTTTCTTTTGGAGTCTCGAACAAAGTACACCTTTTGTTCGATACTTTAGTCACTTTTTTACTATGCCTTCAAGACTCACAATACTTTGTTCGACACTTGAGGATTCTAATGGCATGGCTAAGTTTAGGGCATGGCTCTGATACCATGTTAGGAATCACAGATCTCCAAATAGTATGATATTGTCCACTTCGAGCATAATCTCTCATAGTTTTGCTTTGGGCTTCCCAAAAGGCCTCATACCAATGGAGATAGTATTCCTTGATTCCCTAAATTAGCCGATGTGAGACTTTCATCCAACACCTCCCCTCAAACAAAGTACGCCTCCTCTTAATCGAGGCTCGACTCTTCGAACAAAGTATACCCTTTGTTCGATACTTTAGTTACTTTTTGACTATGCCTTCGAGGTTCACAATACTTTGTTCGACATTTGAGGATTCTAACGGCATGACTAAGTTTAAGGCATAGCTCTGATACCATGTTAGAAATCACGGATCCGCACAATAGTATGATATTGTCCACTTTGAGCATAAGCTCTCGTGGCTTTGCTTTGGGTTTCCCAAAATGCCTCGTACCAATAGAGATAGTATTTCTTGATTATAAACTCATGATCATTCCCTAAAGTAGCCGACGTGGAACTTTCATCCAACACTTAATATAAGACAATTATATAACCGTGCGAACATTTGGTTGAACCAGGGAATTCATGAACTTGTATACTCGAGCGGTCGGTTCGAGAATTAGATGCTTACCGAGATGGAGATCGTGAAGGTCTCTAGAATCAAGACCAGTTGGTGAAGAGAAATCTCCCCTATCCATTTGTTGTTGTTTCCTAATTATGGTTTAAGTTAGCCATGGAAGAAGGATTTCAGGGAAAGAACAAAACCAGAATAAGGAAAGGAAAGAACAAAACCTGAACTTGTCGGGGACTTTGCCCTTCTCCTTATAAGGCTTAACAAGAACACGAGAATCACAGACAAAGTGAGGGTTGCCCTTAGCCAGGATAAGCTTAACCGTATCTGCGTACACGAAAGTCACAAAGCCAAACATCCTCTTCTGCTGATATGGGATTCTTACGTCGTGAACTGGTCCATAAATGCTGCATAATTACATAAACAACCCTCCAATTAAATGTTGAATAATTTTTTTAGTTTAAATCTTAGAAATAATTTCTTTTATGGAATATTCATAAAACTTATACCCATTTCATAACAATAATAAAATAAATTAATTTATAGCTAAATTATTAATAAAAATAAAATACTAAATTAATAAAAATACCCCTCAACTTTACACTTTATCTCAAAAATATATTCGAGCTTTCAAAAAAATTTCGTAATATCCAAAAACTAAAAGAAATAAATACTCAAAAAATTTCTTATTGTTAGTTTTGGATGAAAATCGTTAATATTTTGTTTCAAAAATAATCTCGTACTTTCAAAAATGTTTTAAAAATACTATTAATACCCTTAAATCTTTTTAAAAACTTTCCAATACCTTTTTTTTTCAACTTTTTTTTTTTTAAATTTTAAAAATTCTATTACCCATAGTATCACATTTATAAAATACTCATAAAATTTGAATGCTTTTAAATTTTCATAATTATTTATTACCGTCAAAATAACTTTAAAAAATTAAAAAATATGTTAGATAAAGTAAAAAGTCAGTTGATATTTTTATTAATTTAAAAAAGATTAAATAAGTAATTTAGTGTTGATTTTAAAAAAAAAAAAATTTTCTTTTTTGAACCCAAACCAAACACTTGAGCTGTTTCAGACCAGTCCGATGATTACTTCAAACCATAAATCCAATCATTACAAGGCTACAAATTAGCACCTGAAATATTTGGACACATCCTCCTCTTTGAAACTGCTGTCTGCTGGAAATGTCAAATATATTTGTCTGGCTGCCGGATTCCCCATTCCTCCGCCGCAAAAATCCGTTCTTTCCAGCCGGAATCTCCCTGTGTTGCCTGATTCCTCCTCCATGGATAACCCCACCGCCGCTCTGCATACATTTTCACAACACAAACAAAATCCTTCCATTTCATGTTTACGCTCCTTGCACAATAGAAATAATAAAACCACGAACAAAAACATGACAAATGTGAATGGCCTTTGACGGTTACAAATGATATCAGAGCCAGACATCAGAGGTGTGCTAGTGAAAACACCGAGCCGCCAAGAGAGGTGGATTGTAAGATCTCACACGATTGGAGACGGGAACGATCTTATAAGGGTGTGGAAACAAGTAATCGACAAATCTGAGTGAGTTTTATCTAGAACATATTCGACTATTGAAGCTTAGGCTTAAGTTCGTGTTTTAGTTCAATATGTACTCATATAGATTCAAACCTTGGATTAGGTCTACAAAGATTAAGAAACGGGTACACGTGCTACAAAGATTAATGCTAAATAAATAAATAAATTGATTGAAATTGAAGAATCAAATTCTAATTTAGCTAAAAAGAACAAAAGAATTGATAAGATACCTTCGCATTTCATTTTGCTGTTGTTGAAGAAGCAAATCAGACGCCGCCGTCGGCGAATATGGAAAAAAGTTACCGTTACTATTAGCAGAACAACCCATTCCCAATCTCTGCTGCAAACCCGATTTCGACCGGAGAAGAAGACCATCAGAACAGTGGTCCACCATTTCCGCCCTTCCACCGCCGCCATCAGCCATCAAACTCACCTCACCGCCGCCGGAGTGAAAAAACCTACACCCACTTCCATTCTTACAAAACCCTTTCGCATAATACAAACACGGCCGCCATCCAAGCCCCAACCCTGCTTCCTCAGCCCAATTACCCCCGCCGTAGAGCACATCGCCGTCGGTCGGACTGGCTGGGAAATCCGCCGGATTAGTGTAAAAGAAATCTGGGCTTTCATTTACAGAGCCGTCGGTGAGGAAACAGAGGTGATCTTGAATCTGAAACTCATCAACAAAATCAGCTCCTCCATCTGGGTGATTTGAAAAGTTTGGATTTGGGATTGGAATCGAAAGAGGTGGGAGATTGATTCTGGGCCTTGAAGAACAAGAAGATGGGTTCAAGTTCAGCTCTGTTTTGGCCTTGAGAATCAAAGAATGGATTAGAGATTCAGGGCCAAAAGCTAATCGGATCATTTCTTTTTCGCCATGATCTTGAAGGAGGAGGAGGCCCATGATTTTCGAGGCATTTTCAGGGTCGAGATTTTGAACCCTTGAGAACACGATTCTTGTAGCTTCATAATCATCCATAATCAGCTGAGAAAAACAAAAACAAAAAAAAAAAAACAAGAACAAGAACAAGAACAGAGGTGTTCTAGCATTAAGCTTCAAACCCACAAATACTTCGTAAAACAATCATAAGAACAAAATTTGTTTATCTTTCACTAAAACCCAGAAGAAATCATGCATTGAGGTTGGATTTCCACCATGAAAAAACCCATAACGGAGGTAGAACAGAGTAAGAACAGAGGAAGAAAGTACCTTGGTTTTGGAGGAGGAAGAGGAATCAGAGGTTCATTTGGGGTTGGAAATGGGTAGAATAATGGGAGTCAAAGGGAATGAGTGAAGAAAAAGGGGAAGGAGTAAGAGAGTAATGGCGCTGCGTTTCTTATTGGGAGACGAGCTAGTGGGCATGGCCACACCAACAGTACCTGCCTTTTTATCAAGCTCCTCCCATTGCCCATGTGAACACAAGGATTGGTGAAACAAGGCCACACACCCACACACTCTCACACACACACACACACAAGTGCTTTTGGCTGTGTGGGATGGGACAGGGGATGCTGACTATGAACCTTGTTTTTTTATTCCCTTCCATTAAATAATATTTAAATTTTTAAAATATATTTGCTAGAGAGATGTTCCATACTTTTATAAATAATGTTTCGTTCTCCTCCTTAATCAATACCACCAGTGCGATCGCATAAAAACTCTAAAATTAAGTGTATTTAATATCAAGCAATTTTCTTTGAAAATAAGTGAGTAGAGACAAACACATATTGAAAGAACTATAGGCAACACGAGCATGTCGTGAGGATGCAAGGACATGTTAGAGTCGTTAAGTAAGGCATATAGGTAACATGATCATATCGTGGGGTATGCAAAGGAATGGCAGGGTCGTTTAGAACAAATAGGTAACACGATCATGTCGTAGGGGTATAGGAGAATGTAAGGATCATCAAGTGTTGAAGTCGATGATTCAATTCATCACATCGCAATTATTGTACCGAAAAAAGTCGACAATATATGAAAAAAAAAATTAGGGTTTTTTTTTTTTTTTTTAAGAATTGATATCAGATTGGGCACGTTGAGTTGCCCCCAATGTCTGACACATATCCAATGAATATCTTTCTTTAAAACTGATAAATAATTTTTGGTTTTCCAATAAAGAAAACATGTTTCCAAAAGTCTTTTTTTATTATTATTATTTTTTTAAAAAAAATTAACATATATGATAACTACGTTTTAGTATAATATATTGGGAAAATAAATAAATAAATAAACAAAACTTATTTCATGATATTTTTCTTTAATTTTCAATTTCTCGGAAAACCAAAATTTATACTATTTTTTACTCGTATTTATCCCTTTTATAATTATCAAAATATATATAATTTTTAGTATAAAATTCATATATTTTTCGCTAAATTAACGAGTAATAATAATAATAATAATAATAATAATAATAATAATAATAATTTGTTTCAAAAATACTTTTAAATTTTTAATAGATTTAACTTAAGTTTTTTAAAAAAATAAAACTATTAAAAAAACATTTAATGGTATTTTAATTTAACACAATAATTTAAAAAACTAATCAAACATAAACAAATTTAATTAACTAAAAATTAAACAAAAATAGATTAAGTATTTCAATTTCAGAATTTTAGACAACTCAACACGGGATAGAACTCAGCACTTCAAACACAGACTTATTAATCTCGTAGATAATCAATTTCAGACTTCGTACGTTAACTCACGAGATTATTAGCCTAAAATGCATTTGAATTAAGGAAAAACAAATACTATTATTTACAACTATTTTTGCTTAATAATAATAAAAAAATAATAATAATAGTGTGTACTAAAAAGAATTTTGTAAGAACTTATGAAGTTTAGTTAAATTTTAAGATTATGTTAATATTGGTGAACCTAGTTAGATATAATTCGAGAGAATAATAGTCGAATAGTGACGTCGTAAGACTAGTTTGTTTAGATACATGATATTAATTAAGTTTAATGACAGCGGATTTGCGATTGTGCGGCACTCACTTCTCAGCAACAAGTGAATTAAGTTTATTCGTTCTTGTGTCGCTTACGACCAAACGACGTTTGTTCGAGCCGAAGAAAGTTTAAAAAAAAAAAAAGGTCGAGAAGAAGAATATAAGTAAAAGACAACAATTTTGGATTTTATGAATCAATGGTTGTTGAAGGTCCAACTTGATTGATTGGGGCGTGATGACCACGCGCCAATTTTGGATTTTTCATCTATTATTATTGTAATTTGTTATAAAATTTGGATGTTTATTCATTGTCTCATAATTAGGATTATGAGTGAATAGCTGCCAATTAAAATATTTCAAACATTTCATTATCCCAATTTTTTTTTCTTTTCGTAATTGAAAAAAAAATTTAATATAACTCACTCTCGCATACTTAGGAAATTCTACGTAACGAGTCAAAACAAACAATATCTATTAGCAGTGGGTTGGGTTGTTACAAATGGTATCATAGTCAGACACTAGGCAGTGTGGTAGCAAGAACGTCAAACCTTAAAGGAAATGAATTGTGAGATCTCACATTGGTTAGAGAGGGGAACGAAACATTCCTTATAAGGGTACGTAAACTTTTCCCCATTTTAAAATCGTGAGGCTAACGGGCCAAAGCAGACAAAGGACAACCAATTTCACACTATGGTGAAGACTCACACGTTGATGAGATCCCACATTGGTGAGAGAGGGGGGAACGAAACATTCCTTCTAAGGGTACGTAAACTTTTCTCTGGTAGACGCATTTTTTAAAATCGTGAGGCTGACGTGCCACAGCAGACAAAGGGCAACCAATTCCACGCTCATGGTAAAGACTTACACGTCGAATACGCACAAAACAAAATATATAACTCAACAGTAATTAACATGCATTCTCGACCAAGGTTCGAATTCGTTAAAGTAAAATTTTGTTTGGATTACTATCCAATCAAAGTCCAAATTAGAAACAAAAGCATAGTTGATAAGAGTGTAGGAACATTAATGTGGGAAAATGCCCCACCACTATATTTATGCTTCATTCTCTATACCCCATAGTGTCCTTTTTGCCTTGTCCCACGTTAAATAATTGCTTACATAATCATTACCATTAAATTTAATCAAATAAATATTCTATTTCAATTATAGAAATCTAATATAATAAAAAGTTATGGATCCTTCTTTTTGCTTGGATTCCTTATGGTTGAAGGAATGTAACAACTTTTTTTTTTATATCGATGTCGGGAATAAATACTTGAAAATTTTGTGAGGTAAATTAATCAATTTCACGATCTATACCCAGAACTCGAAATTTGGATTCAGCACCTGAGTTTGACGTTCTCCTACGACATGATTACGTTATTTACTCCTTACTTATTAGGTTTTAGAATTCGGATTTGGTACATGATAACCCTGATATTTCCTTGCGATATGGTCATGTCGCTCATCAGGGTTTAGAATTTAGATTTGGCACCTGATGATCTTGGTATTCATCTATGATATGGTCACGTTACTTACTCCTTGCTTCTAAGAGTGAAGATTATCTCCACATACCAACACGAGTTCTTTTTAGGATATTTTGTTCTCACTCACATGCTTCATAGGGTGTAAGAGTTTAGGGTTTAGGGTTTTAGGGTTTTAGGGTTTAAGATTTAGGGTTTAGGGTTTAGGGTTTTAGGAAGTCGCCCAATATTGAATTGCTTCAAGCAAAACACACTTAATTTTGAATGTAGTCGTGATTATTCTTATTTAAATGAGACCCAACGAAAACGACGCAATTAAATCTTGAATAAACTAGGTGACTGAACAATTGACATTTTAAGACATGTTTCATTGAACGTTCTTCTCTCTTTTTTGAACAACATAAAACTTTTAACACAATAAAATAAACAATTAAATGGCTTTCTCTTTTAACTTTTTTTTTTTTTTTTTTTTTTTTTTGTTTTGTTTTGTTTCAAAAAAGTTTAGTTTACTAACATTTTCTTTATTTTCTAATTTACTTTGAAACATGAAATTTTTTAAAAATATTTTAAAACCATACTTTATATGAAATTTGGCTAAATTTTGTTATTATAAATTTTTTAAAAGGTTCTCGCTCCCATAATCTTAATGTGATGAATCGAGACCATATATGAATGAGAGAGATTCTGAAGATAGGATAATTAAATTGAGACCACATTGGAATGAGAGAGATTCTGAAGATAGGATAACTAAAAAACACGTAAAAAAATTGAAAGTCACTATCTATACCAATAAGGTGCACCTTATAGATATGCGTACTTTACTTGAAATAATTATATGTTGGGTGATCTTCTAGGAATTTTCCTAAGATACATGCGAGTGAGAACAAAACATGCTAAAATGACACATGTTGGTCTATAGGGATAGTTTTCACTCTTATAAGCTGAGAGTGAGTAATGATAACCATGTCATAGGATGTCGGGGCCCATTAGGTGTTGAATTTGGATTTCGAATCCTAATTCGAATCTTGGACATGGGTCATTACAAATAGTATCAGAGTGGTACATCTCCCAATAAAATATGGTTCGGGTATGAACCAAGGCAGAAGTTGGTGGACATGTGACACTCGAGTAAAGAGGGGTACATGAATAGAGAGATCCTGAGGATAAGATAACTAAAAAAAATGAAAGTCGCTGTATATACCAACAAGATGCCTCTTCCTTTTTGGTGACTCAATCATGAGAACTTCGTAGTTAAACGTGTTTTACTTGGGTGGCTCGTATCGAATTTGATTGTTAGTTGAATTATTGTTAAATTAAGAAATTCGGGTCGGGATAGGAGAATCGGAACATGAAGGGAAAGCATGGGCAGTGCTTTCTCAAATGTCAGCTTTTGAAGAGAGATGCCCTCCACAAAGCCAAAATAAATGATGACTGAATCTCCCTCTTCCACACCTCCTTTTTATCACAAAGATTTTTTTTCTTCTCTTTTTCAATTTACATTTTTTGTTCTTCTCTTTTTCAATTTACATTTTCATTCCTTTTATCACTTTTTTCTGCGATATATTTGCAAACTGATGTAAAGAGAAAAGGTAATAATATCCTGATTGGACCCTTTGGGATGCTTCTGTTCCCTGTTTGTGGTGTTTGTGGTGAGTATCCAAAGGCCTTCGTGAGCTTTGAAACAACCTTTGGCTTTCGAACTATATAAGCCATGACAAATTCTTTTAACTAATTTTCTATTGAAATAAAGTCACTGCCCTATGTAGGTTCTATGAACTTTGATGCGATGCTGCCATCAATCGTATATGGGTGTCTTGCAATTATAAGAGTAGCCCATGGCTAGAATTTTAAGAAATATTCAGTAGATGACCACACTATTAGGATTAGGAATCCAAACACATGCAACATGCCACATTCTCTTAGGTGGCCTCCAAATTGGATGT